CTTATTTCCTCAGGCTTCAGCTGGTCATTGGCCCCTGCGACTCGTGCCTCGGCCGATTGGGGAAGGAGCACGAACCGCACCACCACGGGAGACTCAGAGTGGCTTCAACTTTGTGGACATGGAAAACCTGAAGGAGGATCGCGCTGTGCCATGCCAATGCCGAACGATACATCTACCTACTACCGCATTGCAGATGCCACCGCCATCACCTGCATCCCGTTAAATGCTGACACGAGATCTGGGATAGAAGGACACTATGCCATTGGCCCTACGCGGTGGACTGATTGTGCGGCGTAGACGACGGGCGAGACACAACACAACGTGCGGCTGACTCTTCTTCTGTCTGCGACAGTGGCGCAACCAACTGCTAGGCAAATACGAAGCGCCCTCCTGATGGAAAGTCGGATTCCAGTGAGGTGTAAGACGCCTGATTCAGCTGGGGCTTTCGATGCTCCAGACATGCCAATTGTAACGCCGTGTCGTGCCTTCTCCTTCTCTTCCTTCGCTCCTCCTGTCACTATCCGTCTGATTTGACAAGAGGCAAGTGCGAGAGTGGCTGCATGCCTGCCACCAGTTCAGCGCGTGCTCCGCTCCTCCCCGTGCGGAGAAATAAAAGTGGCACACCCCAAAAAGCCAAGATAGAGACAAGCGTTCAGCCAATGGGCGCTAGCTGACGGCGTGGCCCGTGCTGGCATGTAACGTTTCTCTCGATTCCAGACGAGCAGGAAGGAGCGTCGCAACTACTCTTTACCTTCCCTACTATCTCTTCAACCTGCAGCACGAGACCCTTTATCAAAGTTGAGTTAGGTTATCACAAGTGAAGAATCAAGGTGCGACGGCGACTCGAAGCTCTTCCGCAGCGGGAGGCCAGTTGCATTGTCCACCTCCGACGTCGTGGGCTCGTTACACTGATAAGGCCCTGCTGCAGTGCGTCCCTGTCTTCTTCACTTCTTGACAGCTACTGGCAGGTCGCACCGGGTCAAGGTACACTGCTCCGGGCTGTCTGTCAAAAAGAGTAGCCAACCATGCCGGCCTCCGCGGCCCGGCATCAAGCTCCGCAACGCTCGGGCGCCGTCTGACTGCTTCACGATCCGGTCATGCGCATCTCATTATCGGCCCTTCCGAACCATGAAGCCATCACTTTACAGGAACACGTTTCCTCTATCTCTCAAGACTGGCAGCAATATCTTGATACCGTTGTTGCACCCTCCAAAACCCAGCGTATCTCAACCGTAACATGCCTTACCCCACACTTCAACGCCCAATGGCAGCGACCATCAAAGGTTACATGTCCCTAATCGGCCCCCCATCAAGTGTCCCCCAGATCAAACAGGTGGGGTCCATCTAGCGTGAAATCATCCTTTACCTTGCTTTTCAAATGGTTCCCGGTCCGCGGCACTGGGTCTTGTGTCCAAAGATTGACATATCGGCCGAGATGTATCGTGTCTCCTTCTGTGGTGGTCACAACGTACAGTAGCATTGGCTAAATATCGCCTCACCTGAGGCAAGAAGCCTCGAGGCAGGGCGAGCAATGTTGCACGTGCTTAGCAGAGGGTTTCTGGGTGTTGCTCGGTCAGGGCCAAGGTCCGATCCGGCCCACCGTCCTCGGCGCCGGACTGGTCCCGACGATTCCACGTCTGGACCGCTTCCCACCTATTGCTGGGCCAAACCGGGCCTCCCAGATCAGCTGCTGCCGGTCTCATGTTGTTCGTGTGCCGGTCATGGGGTCATTCGGCCCGGCATGGCCAGGGTCCACCCAATTCCGAGGATTTCCATCGCCGACAACGTCATTGTCGGTGGAGTGGTCAAGCTGCAGGGCTTCGGACGGGTTGGATCTCTCTTTTTGCGTTCAAGGGCGCTCTGACTTGCTTAAAGGCTTGTGGAGTCTGACATTAAGATCTTGTCAAGGAGACACCACCTGATAACTGAACGCTGATAGGACACCCAATGTCTACAGCTTAGTTATCCATACTATGCGCTGTCAAGTACACCTCCTTTGGTTTCTGGTATCTCTGTCGTCGTCTTTTCTTTAAATTGCGTCCTCAAGCCACTGTCTCTAAACTCACGTGGAAGTACACCTGGATACACATAGACGTAAAACAAGTAGGTCTGGGAACAAGAACCCCTATCTCGCAGGGTTTCTCTTTCACGAAGATTGTGAAAGTAGGTATGCTCAGGCTCCCTGCTACTTTTGACGTACGGATTCAACGACCAGGCTTCCTTCGATTCCCTCTTAATTTCGCATTCCCGAGATCATTGTTTTGTGAAGCCGCAACGATACGAGCCATGACAATTCTCCTGTCGCCCCATACACCGGAAATAAGAAATGAGCTCCTGTAGTCAGAGCCCGAGCGCTGAGTCGGCGTGAAGGTTGCGTTGGCAGTGTAACAAAACTTTATCTGGGCAGCCCGACTCAACGCTCACTTCAAGGATGTTCGACTGCCTGAGCTCGGTGCCGACCTAGTTCTCTTATGCTGAATAATATATGCAACACTCCGGCAATGGGACACAGAATCGCACTACGCGCAAGAATTGATTGAAATTGTTTGCGGGAATGTTGGGAACTGTGAAGCATACTCATCGGGGAGGTAGTATGCTGATGATGGAGCTCCTGGACATCGATGTGCGGCCCCTGAAGTGTAAAATATTTTGATGGCAGCGGAGAATAACGTTGTTGTGAGATTTCTGATTGAACGTTTGTTCTCATAGCTGCAGCGTCACAATAACACCAGTTGGATTCCAGTATCAAATATTGCCCTGCAGATAGGCCACTGGCTCTAGTCCATGGTGACCAGACACAACATAGGTCTCTCCCCCCTTACTGATCGTGTATGCGACCTCGAAGAGTAGTTCCTCGCCAAAATTCAGTCCCACCGGAACCTACTACCACCGTGTAATATCCATCAGAAGTTGTTTGGGCCATTTTCGCGCTTCTATCTAGTTTCGAAGCTATTAGCTTTTACCTCGACTTGAAGGATGCGTTCATATCAGCCAATCACTGCACAATCTTAACGTACGTTGAGACGCTCACGTTGACCTTGATGCGATGAGGTCGACATTGTCACAACAAGAAAGGTTGTGTAGAATTAATCAAGCTAAGCTCGGAAATTGACGTTCGAAACGGGAACTGGAAAGCCGAGGGCACGCTCATCTAGACGACCTTTTCTTAAAATTCGTCCAAGATGAGCTAGCGTCCCCCATCCATGCGGCAGGAATAATGTTGCCAGAAAGCTTGATTGACTAATGTGAATACCTACAGTTTGAGCCTCTTCCGTGATGAAGTTACAACTCTCGCGGCTGATTCGGTGTACGCCTTCACAGCAACTCATCCATGTCAATGTTAGGCCGCTGCGCATTTTGAGACAGCTACGTCGTCTGTGCTTCAATGAATTCAGTTGTCAACTGCTCTTATCATTTGCAGTTGCTGAATTTGCTTATGTAGGACATGAGTGATCTAACGTACCGGTAGACTATCCCCAACACATGGTAATAAATTCCCCTTATGCTCGGGCCACTGATATCTATTGTAAGTTTAAAAAGAATTCACGGGCCCAAATGCAGAGGGTCAAACGCGGCGAGAAGTCGCCGAGTCGCGACCACGAGTCGAAAAATTTGGGTTTCTCCTAAATTGCAAGGCGAACGATGACCCATTGCCAAGGCCTTCTCCATCACCGAGCCCTCTGTCATGTATCACGTACACCTAGTAATCAGCATAACTATTTAAACAGCAGCATGTTGCCCAGCTGCTCAACGGCATCACTAGTTCATCCATAGTCCTTCGTTTTCAACTTCTACAAGATCGCTCTGTCAACACAATGAAATTCTCCATCTCTGTCTTTACAGTCATGTCTCTCATGAGTGCCGCTCTGGCGGACGACTTCAACCTTGTGTGTTGGGGCACTAGTGTTCCTGACAATATCAAGAGGGGAGACCTCGAGTGGGCTATCAAGAATCGCGTCACTGAACTCGGCGTGCCTGGAGGGTCCACCTTCCCGTATAAGTTTTACACTTGTACCGATCTTGAGAATAAGTCTCATGAGATTGCGGTCATCGTCACACCCACTAGTAAGTGTTACCGTTCGCTGCTGAGGCGACAGTCATCCGCACTAGTTACAACATAATGTTGCGCCAACATTTCCCCCAATTTCCCTCAATTTCCATGCGTTGCGATCGTTTGCGTGGAATATTTCGCTAATGGTCGTATTCAGTCATAAGAAAGGGGTTCATCAAGCTGGCAAATGGGAATATTGAATGCAACGCTCTCGGGCCTAGGGATTGGATCTGCCCTCGACACGCGTGGTAAAACGTGGAAATATTTGTACCATCGCATCGATGCTTACGTATGACTATCTTTCATATGGCAGGGACAATGCTTTTCCTGTGTGCTCGCAACCACTGCCACTGCCGCCGCGTGTGATCACTATAATATTTATGTTATTGTCATTCGTAGGAAGACTTAAACTCGTTGAGAATGCACGATATCTAGTTGGCAAATACAGGAGCGATGACCGTTTCCTTCCACACCGCTTAAAAGGGTCAGGCCGGATACGCTCGTTAGACAGCCATCGCCAGATTTCTCGCTGGGAACCCGCCCAAATCATGATGTTAGCGGACAATTGGCATGCTTTTCATTCTTTTTCGTCTACGCCACTCTTTCGCTCTTGTGATATCCGTGGTTGCTCCGTACTGGGGCAATGAAGGTCCGACAAAGCCACACCGCGAGGTAGTCTTTGCTCATAGCATACGTCTACCAAACCAACCAAATCACATGGTCCAGGCCCGCGCTGAAAAGAAGCCTTTCTATCTGAAATCTTACTGTGAAGGAATCATAATGTGGATACAGAGAGTTTGTAATACGCGACTGTGGTCCCGTAAGCAGAGTCCGAACTCACGTCAGCTTCAAGGCCAGCGCACCCATCTACTTAAAGTGTCGACCAGCAAGCTTTATGAAGAAAGTTCACAACGCTTCTCTTCTCCCCATGTTTTTAATCTAGAAGAACATGTCGAGCAAAGGTATCGTTCTTGTCACCGGTATTAATGGCTATATTGCCGGTCGAACCGTCGAGGCTCTGCTCAAAGCGGGGTACCACATTCGTGGCACGGTTCGATCGACAGCTTCAGCCCAAGCGACTGTCAAAGCATTGGCCGAGTATGAGCAAAGAGTGGAGATTGTTGAGGTCGCAGACACATCCGTTCCCGGCGCTTTTGACGAGGTCGCCGAAGGTGTTGAGGGCATTGCCCATCTGGCCCAGCCTGTCACCGACAACTTTGGAAGCGATCCGCAACGTGTTATTAGCCAGATCAGAGACGCCACGACGGGGCTTCTGGAGTCGGCTGCCAAGGTTGGGTCCGTCAAGACTGTAGTCCTGATGTCTTCGGCCGTCGCTGTGTTCTACCCAAAAGATCATCCGTACGTCTACACCGAAAAGGACTGGAGTGACTCTTGGGTGGAGATCGTGAAACAGATGGGCTCCGAGTCGCCTCCGGGGCTACCATATTTGGCAAGCAAGGTAGTGAGCGAGAGGGCCTTTTGGAAGTTCCGGGATGAGAAGAAGCCATCGTTTACCATGACTGCCATCAACCCTTTGTAAGTGCTCAGAGGCATCATCATGCAGCTGTGACCGTCTGCTAACAGGTTCAAAGTTTCGTAAGCGGCCCGCCCCTCACCACGCCGAAGTCCCCGAGCAACATCTCAAGCTCGTGCATGTTCATCTGGAGATACTTGAACGGTGAAGAACTTGTGGGACCCATGACTGATTGGGACTACTGGGTTGATGTCCGCGACGTGGCGAAGCTGGTTACCTGGGCCTTCGGCCATGGTGGCGAGGCGGACGGCGAGAGATACATCTCAAAGACGGCATGGGCACCACCTCAAGCGACGGCCGACATCCTCAGGCCAACGTACCCTACTCTTTCCATTAAGCAGGGTCGTCCCGGCGAGGGTTATTTGCCAGACTGGAAGACGCCGCGGGAGACGGACGTTGATGGATCCAAGGCGCTGAGAGCAGTTGGTGGGGATTACGTTCCATATGACCAGTCCGTGTTGGATACGGCAAAAGCATTTGAGCCGTTAATGAGAAACTTTTGAAATTCTCCACGAAGGTTTCGTTGAGTTCGATCATTATTATCAAGGCTGCTTTATTCAATGAAAGACGCATGGTACATCAATAGCGTGGTTGATACCTATCAAGCCCACATAAACGGTCTAGATCTTGATTCCAGGATCGTTATTCAGACTAGTCTCTAATAAGATGAAAAGCCTCTGTTGAATCATAGAACCGTGCCCAGGCAGCAAGGCCTACCTAGGTCTGTGCATTGAACGGACATCCGATGACGCAGCCGCGGATAATATAAGTCTGAGTTTACAAACTCTGATCGCAGAGCTTTCACTTTGTCGTCTGTTCCCTTTCTCTTTCTCTGCGCATAACAGCCATAATGACCTGATCTTGCGCCCAGGCAGGCAAGATGTTGGAGCCGAGTTGTTGCAGTGCGTGGGCCCAGTACCCAACGACTATCCCATTGCCACGGCCGGATCGTGCCAAAGCTGCTCGGGCCATAGTCTGAGAGTCCGGTGTAAACAACGACGGGGGCTCTTTGCAATGTGAAACATCCGTTACCCTGCCTATTCTGACGCCTAACATTTCGACCTGTTTGTCGCCATCATCCAGTCTCGACTCGAGGCCCACTGCACGTGTCATGTTCATGAGGAATTGCTTGCTGGCGCTATAAGACGCCAGCAGAGGGAATCCTTGGTCTGCCATGGAGCTGACATTCATCACCAGGGCTGGCGCGTTCTGGCGGAGGATGGGTAGAAGCACCCGTGTCAGATGAAGCGGAAAGAGTGCGTTTAAGCTGACGTTGCCCGTGATCCTGGTGACAGAGGACTCGCTAAGAGGCAAGCAAATCGGATTGAACGCACCACCCCCTGCATTATTGATGAGTACGGTGAGGTGCAAATCACTAAGATCTGCTTGAATGGCTTCGAAGTCCAGGGAAATATGTGATGAGTCCGCTGTTGTTCTTGTTTGTTCAGGCCCAATGCAGTTCATGCATGGCACAGTGCTGGCATCTGCTACTAGTAAACGGAAAGATCGTTCCGGATGTTTTGTTCGCAGTCGAGTTAAGGCGGCAGACAGCTTGATGCGATTACGCCCATGAAGTACCACGTTGAACCCTTGCATTGCCAGCTCTTGTGCGAAAGCGTGGCCTATGCCATCTGAAGCGCCCGTTACAAGCGCCCAAGGCGCATCGCCGTCCGAGGATGCATGCGCATAACGGCTCAATCTTGATGGAAGGGTGTATATGGTAATAATATTGATAACCTTAATGATGACAACGCCAATGGTGATAATACCAACAGCAGATATGATGTTTGGTATCCAATGCGCCATTTAGCTGCCGTCGGGACGGTGACACGTGACAATAAAGATAGACCAGTGATGCAAATGTAGGTCTTGCCGAAAGGTCTAAACACCGGTCGATGAGGACAAATAACCCGGAAACATTACTACCCGGGGGCGTTAGTCAGCCACGTCAAGCACTAAACTCCCCCTACTCACGTAGGGGGCGAAAATACTGGGTTTCTACTATAGAAACTAGTTTCCACTAAGGTTATCGTTAATAACTCGTTAGCCCTAGCCCTAAGATTATAGTATTATAGCTTATAATTAAGCTTTAAAAATCATAAAAATTCCTATTATAGTAGTCTTATTATATTAAGTATATTACTATATATATAAGCGTTTTTCGTTATTAGGGAAAATATATCTTTCTTTTTATATAGAACTATAACCCTAACCTTGTGTATATATACTATAAACTTTTAAAGAGATTTTTATACTATATAGAACTACTTTTATATTATTATATAGTATAGTAAATTAGATATATATAGTATTAATAATAGGTTTTCTCTAAGAATTTATTTTTTCTAAGAAATTCCTAAGAAAAATAAAATTCCTAGAAAACCTAAGAAATCTAATATAATAATACTATATTAAATTAGTATTAAGCTATATAAACTAGTATAATATATAATAATTCTAATAAAAAATCCTTTTAAATATCTACTTATTTAGAATTAGGGTTAGGGTTATAAATCCTTTATAATTAAGGTCTATATAAACTAATTCTATAAATATTTAAAGAACTATTATATATATAAATATTATGCTTATATAGGAATTTTTACGATTTTTTAAGNATATAAGAATAATAATAACGCTTAACTTACTTTAATATTCTATATAAAATAAACGAATAAGGTTTAAGGTATTAAACCTTATATAAAAATACTCTATTTATTATAACCTATAACTATAATATTGATTATATAATACATATAGTTATATAAGTACCTTATGTAATTAGCTAAACTATACGTAAGTACCTTATATAATTAGTAGTTTAGTAGGTTATATTTTAGATTATCTTTCCCCTCACTTTTCCCTACTAGAGGAAGTAACCTGCTAACTATATAAGTAATAATAACTAGAGTTATCATAATATATTAATTCCCTTATTATTATCTATATAATTAAATACTTATAAATACTTAGACTTATTACCTTTTATTATAATATAAACCTATCTATAACCTTATACTATATAGGCGTATATACCACGCCCCTAAATATACTTATACCTATACTAATAAGTTATAAGCCTAGTTTAGAGATAATCTCTATTCCTTCTACCTTTTTACCTCTCCCCTACTTACCTATAAAGCCTTACCTCTACTTAAAGGTTATATATACTAAAAATTAATCCTTTAAATACTTTTCTATCTATATTACTTATATAAAAGCTAATATATTAACTAGACTAGTAATTTAGTTCTATAAAATATACTTCTTATAAATCTATATAACTAATCCTATATAAATTAACTATACCTCTATTAATCTTTCTTTAAATAGATAGTCTCTTATTACTACTTTATTTAATTTATATCCCTTAGATTATTTCTTTAAACTATTCTTTAATCTACTTCTAATCTAGTTTAGACTTATACTTATAATATAATAGACTTCCTCTTAACTAATCTACTATATAGGATATATATCTCCTTAGTTAGATAGAAGTCTAGCTAAAGAAGATATTAATTAAAGAGAAGGAATAAAAACTACTCTTTTTATTAGTTAAACTCTAACTTTTTAGGTTTCTAACTATTATAACTTTATTATAAGAATTATTATACTATATATATAATAGTTTTTTAGTTATATAACCTTACTATTATTTAACTTTTATAAGACTTATAACTATATATTATATAGTAATAAAGTAATAATAACTAATTTTAAGGTTTAGTTCTCTAAGTTTATAAGTTCTAAGAACTATAAAGTATAAGCTATATATATAAAAGCTCTACTATATAGTAAAGATATTACTATAGACCTTATTAAGCCTATATCTAAAGATAATTTAGATAAAAACTATAAAACTTTAAGTTATATATAGTTATTTTATAATAATAGTCTACTTAAGGTTATAAAAGATAATAAAGATACTTATATAATTTAGAATTATCTAAAGTCCCTATATAAGCCTATAGGTTTTATAAATAAGTTTTTAACTTANCCTATATAAGCCTATAGGTTTTATAAATAAGTTTTTAACCTATAAAGAGTTCTTTAATACTTCTTTAGATAACTTTAAATTTATAGAAGATTATATAAATAAAATAAAAAAACTTATAGATANGAAGATTATATAAATAAAATAAAAGAATTTATAGATAACTTATTTTATAATAAACTTAAATTACTAAATTAAGTAGTTATTATTTATATACTTAATAGTTTAAATAAGACTTATAAGGTTTTTATAACCTCTATAACTTAGTCTTTTAGGACTAACCCTTCTATCTATAACTTAAACTCTTTATATATTAGTTTTATAGATAAGTATAAGAAAAAAAGAGGTAAAAAAGTAATTAATAATACTACTACTAAAGGTAATAAAAATAAAAAATAAAATAAAAACTAAGAAAATAATAAAAAGAAAGATAAAAATAAAATAAGTAAAAAACTTTAGAAAAAATAAAAAGGTTTATACTATAAAAATTATAAGAAAACAAATTATATTAAAGAAAACTATACTTTTCTATATCCTAAAAAAGTACTTAGTTAGTAGAAAAAGCCCTCTATTAGTACTACTAGTACTAAGGATAAAGAAAAAGAAGTAATTAATATAACTATTATAAATAATATTACCCCCTATATATCTATTAATAATCCTAAAAATCCTATAGATTTAATAGATTTATCTTCTAATAAAGAAGAAGAAGATATTCTCTTTAAGAATATAAGCTATACTACTCCTAATAATATAAATAATAATATTAATAATCCTTTTTTAAATTATTTAATTAACTAATCTTTTATTAAGGAAAAAGGAAAAGTAAGGAGTTATACTAATAAGAATAAAAAAATAGTTAATTTTTATATTAATATTATAGCTACTATTTATATAGTTAATAATTATAACTTTATAAAAAATCCTATAAAAGTAAATAAAATAATAAAATAGGGAGAAGTAAAGACTCTTACTTCTACTATAAAGGGTAATTTNTAAAGACTCTTACTTCTACTATAAAAGGTGATTTAATAATATATCCTAATAATAATAATAATATAATATTAAAAGATATTTATTATATACTTAAACTAAGCATTAATCTACTTAGTTAATTTAAGCTAGATTCTTTAGGTATTACTTCTATTATATAGAAATAACCTATTTTATATAATATTAATAAAGATTATATTATTACTATAGGGGTAAAACGAAATAATTTATATTTCTTCTAATTTCCTATTAATAATAATAATAACTATATATATAATACTATAAATAATAATAATATAAATAATAATAATAATAATAGCCTCTAACTATAGCATAAACGTCTAGGATATATATATATATAAAGCCTTTTAAAATTAAAGGATAATACTATTATAAATATAAATAATAATAATAATAATAATAAATTATAGCTCTATAAAGCCTATTATTAAGGTAAATTTATAACTAAGGCTAGTAAAAAATAAGTTTATAATAAAAATCTAGATTACTTAGATTATATAGTTTTAGATTTATATAGGCTTATAACGCTTACTACTTATAATAAATATAACCTTTTTATTATCTTTATAGATAAATATACCTATTTTATATAGGGAAAATTACTTAAAGATAAAGAGAAGTATACTATTAGTAAAGCTTTTCTTAAATTTTAATCTGAAGTTAATAATAATAATAATAATAAAAGAATAAAAGAAATATCTACTAATAGAGGTAGAGAATTTAATAATAAATACTTTAAAGCTATATATACTAAAAGTAGTATAATATATAATAAAAGACCTCCTTATATATATAAACCTAATAGACTTATAGAGTGTATTATATATACTATAATTAATAAAATAAGAACCTTACTATATAATTTAGGTTTACTATACTACTTATAGGGTGAAGTTTTCTATACTACTCTTTATATATATAATAGGACTCCTTATAGCTCTATTAAGTATAAAATGCTTTATAAAATAAAGAATAATATAAAACCTAATATTAATAATATAAAGGTATAAAGTAGTATATACTATTATAAAAATAAAGATCTACTTATTAAAAAACTAGATATATAAATATATTAAGGTTATATAATTAATTNTATAGATCTAATAGGTATAAGATCTAAGATATATAACTAAGAAGAGCTTTATAATCTTAAAATATTAAAATCCTAGAGAATATCTTTATTTCTTATTATAAAGAGCTTCCTATAAATATAAATACCTACTTTAAAGATATAAATAGTAGTATTATACCTAATAATAATAGATATAATACTACNTACCTATAATAGTCTACTAAGAGATATTTCTAGTTAATCTATCTCTTATAGTAATAATCCTACTATAAGTAGAGATATTACTATAACTAATAACGCTCTTAAGAATCTAAATAATAAGACTATTATTAATAGTAATAATAATATAAATATAAATAATAATAATACTATTAATAATAGTAATAATAATAAGATTAATATTAGTATAAGTAGTTCACATAATGATAGTATAAAAACTATTAGTATTAATAATAGAGAAATAAATAAAGAAAAATCTAAGTTACTTATAGAGATCCCCTCTCTATTAGAAGAAGCTAAAAAAGACTACTAATAGGTTAATAATATAGTTAATAATACTAAAAGTGCACTATTATTTACTATTTAGAACTACCCTACTCTTAGTATATATAAAATAAATAATAACGTTATAACTAATAATAATAGTATTATTAGAATTAATACTATTAATAAAGCTTCTTATATACTATTAGTTATTATATTAAATAAGCCTTCTACTNCTAATACTATTAATAAAACTTCTTATATACTATTAGTTATTATATTAAATAAGCCTTCTATTATAAGATAAACCTTAAATTCTCCTTATAAAGATAATTAGATTTAGGCTATATAACTAGAAGTAACTTAAATAGAAGATATAAAAACTTAGGAAATTATAAAAAAACTAGATAATATTTATCTATTAAGTAGTAGATAGGTATATACTATGAAATTAAAAAATAAAATAAATAATATATATAAATATAAAGTAAGATAGGTTACTTAAGGTTTTAATTAATATATTAGTATTAATTACTTAGAAACCTTTTCTACTACTTATAGACCTAAAAGCTATAGATTTATAGTAATATTT